GTTCCACCACGTTCACCTCTACAGTCTGTATCTAGTCAGTCAGGTCAGTATACAGCGCGAGTACAAGTTATTTAGGCAAGAAGCATGCAGTCGGAATCTTCTAGGTCTCATTCGGCCTTGTTTCCCCGCGCCTCCCCGATATTATAAGTATACATCTGTCACGGGAAACAAGCCAAGGCGCTGACAACGCCATCCTACCGCCATTAAAGTTAAATACGTGTGTATACTGAGCTCATCATGAGCGAAGGAGAACTAGGGGCCGGGCTGAGGTCACTGCGTCTCCGATCGTCGGCTCTCGTCTCTTTGCCTCTTTCTCTTCATCGATGCTCTCTCTCTCTCGCCCCTTTACTCTTCGCTCTCCTCAACCGCATTTTCTTCTCTTTCCCTCCCGCCTCTACTCTCTCGCTCCTACTCATCCCACGCCTTTCACTCTCTCACTCTCTGTCGGCTGTCCGTCTCGTCTCACTCTCTCTGCAGATTCCATCTCTGCGTCAGCTCTCCTCACTGCGTCTGGTCGGATGCGTCTGGCTCTCTCTCAACTCTCCGTCGGCGTCGGCCTCCTTCCTTTGCTCTCCCTACGTTGCTCTCGTCCTCTTCCTCATCGCTCCTCCTCTCCTCGCCTCCCCCATCTCTCTCAGCCCTTCGTCTCTTGCCTCTCTCTCTTCTCCCTCTCCCTACCTGCTCCCCTCCTGCCCTCCCTCCCGCCCCTCTCTCCCCATCACGCTACGCGCTAGCGCGCGCAGGTGGCCGGTGTTATATAAGCAAAAGCTTTTTCTGCTGGTCGCGCGAGGTGAGAATCACACAGTATTAAGAAAGAGGCCTGCCCTCCATCATAATTAAACCCCGGGTACAGTAGATTGCATATGACCCAACCGTCCTAACCAACACAGACGTCGTAGTAACATGGCGTAGATATCTCATCCTTAGCGAGCAGACTAGCAACAGAGCGGAGGGTCGGTGAAAATGAACGCAGTGCATTGGGTGCACCGGCTCGTCATCGGGATTGCGGATCCATAAAGCGGACGCATCGCTTACAAACGATATGCGTCTCTGAAAAAATAATTCTAGCGCACGTATGTGATTACCGGCTAATGGAAAGCGATTCAGCTAAAACCGTAGATTTCATTTGGTCAGTACCCTATAAAAACGGAGACAATGTAAAACATGGACGCTAATGATAGTTATTAAGTATAACGTTTACATAAAATAAATCAAAAGAGGTGTGGGATAACCGAATCGGCTACCTCACCATAGTAGCGCGAAACTTGCACCATGTAGTGTATACTCATGACTAAGGTTCTCTGACAAACACGCGGCCGCTCGCCTGTTCGCTTGGACTAGATAACCACGTTATATAGTCGTGCAGTCCGTGGACGGTGCTGTGCCAAGGACAAGCCTCCCAACTATGGTAACCCGCGCCTCCGCAGCTGCGGAAGCCTACTTCTAGCACAGCTAAGAACCCGCACGTACGATCGTACCCACAATCCTAAAAGCATAAGTATTCCCGTCCCTACTGCGAGCCGAAGCACTGACTAAGAAGAGCCGTTGTGCATAACTAGAAACTATAGAGTATCTGACTAGCAACAAACGGCGCGCCGCCACCTGACACGATATGCAGTGATCCGAAAATAGCCGGCCACTTCACCCCCAGCGTTTCAGCACGACTGCTAAATTGTTTGTTTCTACAAGGAACTGTGCTACTTTTTTATGAAGTTTTAGAATCGAGGTTAGTAAGCTTATATAGGCAGAAATCGAGTAGACGTTCGAAAATGCTAAAATCTGGTTGGATCCCCCCCCCCAAACGTCATTCCCAAGACTTAGAGTAACAGTCAGTCCGCAGCGAGCCGACCGCGACGCTGGTACATCACGGTTGTCGTCGCGGCCACGAACTGCACAACACAAGGCAGGGGAAGCGAAACGATAAATCTCGCCCCCTGTGTTGATTGCTGCCGCTAGGGCGGGCGCTGCGACGTGAGCAAATGTCGACTTACTGGAGCCCGCGGCAGTAAGTATACGCCGAGCAGGCCTGCATTTCTTCGCGCACAAGGTGGGGGATGCTCCTTGCGCGTCTGGTCGGGACACGTCTGAGCTCTCTCTCTTCCTTTTCCTCCTCCCCCTCTCCCTCTCTCACCCTCTCTCTCTCCCTCTCTCCCTCCCTCCCCCTCTCTCTCTCCGCGTAGCTGCTAGCGCGCGCTGTGCCGGTGTAAGCAAAATGCTTTTTGCTCGGCGGCAGGAGACAGTAAAAAAAGGCCTGCCCTCCATCATAATTAAACCCCGTACAGTAAAGATGCATATGACCCCGTCCTACCAACACAGAGACGCATAAGTAACCAGGCGGTAAGATCTCTCCGTAGCGGGAGGAAGACTACAGCTGAGAGGGTCTATGTCCCCCAGGGTACTGCCGGAACGTACCCTGGTACTATCTAATATGCCGGACCGTACCTCGCCTACTCCACTAACGAGTCTAGGGAGTCGCCTACGCCTACTCCCTAACCCTAACCCTAACCATAACAAATAGTTACCAGGGTACGTTCCGGCAGTACCCTGGGGGACATAGACGCTTATGAGCCAGACTACAGAGCGAGTCGCAGTGAAAATAACGCAGTGTATTGGTCACCGCTTCATTGGGATTCGGATCATAAAACGGACGCATCGCTTACAACGATATGCGTCTTTGAAAAATAATTCGTACGCACGTTGTTGTATGTGTTTACCGCTAAATGGAAACGACCGCGCTTAACCGGGACATTTTCATTGGTCCGTACCCTATAAAACGGAGACAACTGTAACACTGACGCTATGATAGTTATGTATATAAATTATACAAAAATAAATCAAAGGTGTGGGATAACCAATGGCTACCTCACCATATATGCACGACTTGCACATGTATGTATATCTGACTAGAGGTGTTGGAAACCGGCTGCTCGTGCCGACTAGAAACCACGTTATTTAGCGTGCATGTGGACGTGTGTGCAGGACACCAACACGTCCCCACCCGCGGAAGCCTACTCTACCCGCACGTACGTACGCACATGTATAGCAAAGTTCCCTCCCTATCGACCAACACTGACTAGACCGTTGTGCATAACTTAGAAACTATAGAGTATATCTGACTAGAATCAATCGCCTGCACACGCGATAGCAGTGATGAAAATAGCCCCCACTCCCCCACGGTTCAGGCACGACTGCTAATTTTTTTCACAGGACTGGCTATTTTTTATGGATTTTAGAATAGGTTATAACTTATATAGCAGAAATAGAAACGTTCGAAATCTAAATCTGGTCGGATCCCCTCCCCCCAAACTCATTCCCAAGACTAGTAACAGTCAGCGCAGCGCGACCGCACGCTCACTTGTCGTCGCGCCACGAACTGCACAACACGGCAGGGAACTAAACGAAAATCTCGCCCCTGTTGTTGATTGCCGCCGCTAGGGGGCGCTGACGTGAGCATGTCGACTTACTGGACCCGGCGGCAGTAGTATCCGAGCGCCTTGCATTTCTCGCACAGGTGCTGGGGATGCTCCTTGCTCTGGTCGGACACGTCGAGGCCGTCCGGCTTCTCCAGGGGGCGCTGCAAGCAGACGCGACGTCATTTATTTATCGGTTATTCATCGTTTTCAATTAATTAATTAATTTTTATTTATTTATGTATTTATCATTTTTTAATTTATTAATTAATTTATTTAATTATTCATCAGGCGGGACGAATCTTTGCGTCGTTTCTCGCGCGATGGAACAATAATTCTTTGCATGCGCGACTCACTGGTATCTAGATGCGCGTTTGTCTCGCGGCGAAAGAATTCCAGCGATGCCGTGTGAAGCCGCAAACATAGTAAATAACATAGTAGTAGCATGAAGTCATCAACCAAAAGAAATTTTAAAATTAATGAAGTATGTGTGGATTGCAACTTGCAACCCACCCGAACTTCATTAATTTTAAAATTAATAACTTGCAAGCAACATGTGGGTTGCAGTCCGACGCGAGGACATTTCTAAGGACGTTTTCTGCTTCCACAAACTATAGCAGCTGCATGGAAGCGGTGGCGGCAGGGGAGCCGGGAGTCCTACCTGTTTGTGTGGGTAGACGTTGATGTGGCACTTGATGCATTCCTGTCCCATGTTGGCCCAGCTGTTGCCCGACATCCACTTCCGCTTGCACTTTGGGCACTTGTACTCACCGAAACAGCGCTTCTTACCCTGGTACGGCGTCAGTCCCTCTCCTTTTGGTCTCGCCTGGAAGGCAGAGTATCGCACGTCAGGGTACGAGAAAATTTTGGCGATCGCGAAAATAATTTGGTTCCCCTGCATCTTTAATTAATTTAATTAAATTAATTAATTTAATCCCACATTAACCCGATCACCAGGAAATGCAAAGATATTTGTTGAGTTAAGATCATTGCAAAATGCTATATTGGATTTGTTAATTAGGATCATGGGATAATATTATACGGTTCATTAAAATCAATATAACACATTAAAATCATGGCAGACTATTATCGGGTCCATTAAAATCATGGCAAACTGGACCCTTTAAAATTCGGAGCAAAATATTATTGAGTTTGTTAACCCACGGTGCTGCGACGAATCTGCTCGGCTGGTGGGTATATATGTACGGCGCTACAGGATATCTTTGCCGCTGTTTACATATAAGAACAGTTTACCAGGGGTATCAAATCAGGGAGTCCGACAGTAAATCAGGAAGTATTTGAGTACGGACTCCCGTTAATTTCGCACCCTGGAACTTTGCTGCTGTTTATACATAAGAACAGTTTACTACGGGCCGGGTTCCACTTCCACGAGAGAAGGGGGAAGATTTCCGATCCTCATTGTTCAAATTGTTGATCGCTGATCGATGAGTTACTGTATTACAGGCTGTACGCTAGAAAAACAGGCGGCCCTCTCTCTCACGCTCTCTATTTCTCTCTCTCTCTCTCTCTCTCTCTCTCTCTCTCTCTCTCTCTCTCTCTCTCTCTCTCTCTCTCTCTCTCTCTCTCTCTCTCTCTCTCTCTCTCTCTCTCTCTCTCTCGCTCTCTCTCTCTCTCTCTCTCTCTCTCTCTCTCTCCCTCTCTCGCACGCTCGATCTATCCCCCGCCCACTCACTCACTCATTCTAGAGTAACATACGGCAGCCCGCCCAACCGCGCGCGCGCAGCTATGCTGCTGGACAACAACTATTGCGGTTGTTGCTGCGAAGCGAGAGGCTGGCCCAGCATCCCTGGATGCTGATCAACACTACAACGCAACGTATAAAGTTCAAAGGTTACAGCATAGAGATCTGACATATAGATACAGCACGTACCCATGCACCCAACACTGCCAGCGAAGATCACATTTCTCTCGCTGGCACGCATGCACATGCCTCCACATGCACACACGCGCGCGCGTACACACGCACACACGCGCACACACGCGCACGCGCACGCACACACGCACACGCACCCACGTATACAACACGCTCGAAGTGAGAAACAGAAATTGTGACAAGGACCTTACAGATGATCAGAGGCGTGTAATCCAATACGACCAAAACAGTCCCGTATATGGCAGCAGTGTGGACCAGATGTAGAGGCAGCCAGGCAAGCTGCCGCGGCCGAATCCCACACATGAACGGGCAGATGTCATCCTAGAGAAGGCACCCCCCTCTACACACACACACGTACACACAGGCCCGCGCGCACGCACGTACGCGCACATACACACACCGACGCGCGCACACACAGACCCGACACAGACGCACCCACACATAAACAGATACACGCGCGCGCGCCACGCACAAATACGCGCGCACACACGCACACACACACACACACACACACACACACTCACGCACGCATGCACGCACATACATACACACACATACACACACACACACACTCACGCACGCACGCACGCACACACATACACACACACTGCTTGCTGCGGCATATTAAAGCTCCAGTCGAGATGCTGCGGGGGATGATGGGTGCAGGGGGGTTTTACAGCCGTGGGCCTGCCTACTAGGGACAACAGGCGCAGGACTGCTATATATGCATGGATGCATGGCTGTCCATGTGTTCCCTCTGCAAGCTGCAAACCTTCCGTACTGGAATGTTTTCAAGGCGTCTGTTAGTCAACAGGGTTGTAACTTCTAATATGTTCGGAGCTACCACGCGGTGCCTTAGCATATCAGCTATCGGCTAACAACCGCTACACCAGCAGCACTGTAGCTACATATTCTGTGTATCTAATCTATATTTGAGTTCGTATGTATATGTATGTATGTATGTGTGTGTGTGTGTGTGTGTGTGTGTGTGTGTGTGTGTGTGTGTGT